GGGCCTCATAGAATCCTCTGTGATCACCTGTATCTGCACATAATTGAGTTTTTTCAGCTAGATTGATCCACCACTTGTTCTAGATGTCACAGAGTTTCTGCTGGAGCTTGCTGCATGCAAGACAAAAGGCTGTTTTTCTTGCGTGACAGGATGGCAGTGCAAGGTGTGCTTGGTGGGCAGTTCTCTTCTTCCTCAGCAAGTCCTGGATTTCTTGATTGTTTTTGTCAAACCAGTCCTTGTTCTTCTTGAGGAAGAACCCTAAGGATTCTTCGGAGGATTGCAGGATGCTGTTTTTAATAAGATGCCAAGTTGATTCAGGGGAGGAATCTGCAGAATCTGTGGAATGGTTTTCGAGCCTAGTTTGAAGGTTTGCCTGGAATTTCTCTCTTACTGTGGCTGATTGGAGATTGTTAACTTGGAGTCTTCTCCTTGGGATACTGCCCCTTTTAGGTTTGAATTTGAGATTGAAGTTAAGTTTGCAGCGCACAAGCTGATGGTCTGTTGGCATTCTGCACGGGGCGTCACGTGGGTATGGAGGACATCGCGGACATCTCTCCGTCGCACCAGGACATAATCGATGAGGTGCCAATGCTTAGAACGGGGGTGCATCCAGGTTGTCTTCAGACTATTTTTCTGCTGAAAGATAGTATTAGTGATGGTGAGCTGTTGCTCTACACAGAATTCTGGCAGAAGTTGACCATTATCGTTGCAGTTTCCAACACCATGCTTGCCTAATATTCCTTTCCAGGCTTCAAAATTCTTACCTACTCTGGCTTTGAAATCACCAAGGATAATGATCTTATCATCAGCAGGCACCTTTTGGGTAAGGTAGTGCAGGTCAGAGTAAAATTCATCTTTTTCAGCAGGGTCAGCTTGGAGAGTTGGGGCATATATACTAAAGAGGACAAGGTGTTGGTTGTTGTGTAGTGGAAGGCGTAGGGAGATAATGCAGTCAGAGTGACCTGTCGGCAGATTTTCAAGTTTGGGAAGAATGGAGTTTTTGATCATGAAGCCGACTCCTGAGAGATGTTTTTCGGTTCTGGGCTTACCTGACTAAGAGTGTGTAACCGGCACCATGTTCTCTGAGGCTGCCTTCTTCATGAAGGCGAACTTCACTGAGAGCAGTAATGTCGATGTTGAGACGAGCCAGTTCATGGGCAATTAGGGCGGAACGTCGCTCAGGATGTCCGCTATCTGCAGAATCGAGCATGGTTCTGATGTTCCAACATGCTAGAGTTAATTTAGGTACACCTTTGGAGGCAGGTGTGTGCCTTTGTCTTTTGATCTTTGTGCGACCGCATTGGAGGAAGATGCCCGTTGGTCTGCGGTTAACCAACCGGGTGAAGGTGGAGATGAGCTTTGGTTAGGTCACCTTTTCTAGGCCCCTCTCCGAGTGGAGCAAGCAGTGCTGTCCTTGGAAAGGCTGCTTGGTCGTTCAGGGTGCTGCCCCAAGAGACTGTCATCTCCGGTCAGTCTCAAATGACCAATATCCTGAACCGCCTGCATGCAGGGCTGGGTCTGCGGCTCCCAGTGCACCTTTCACCTGCCATTTTGACCCTCGCCCGTCGCTACAGGACTTTTTGCATGTGGGTAAAGCCTTCAAGCCTGCGCAATGGATTTTTAGGTGAGATGCAGTATGCGCGGAACTGAATCCACCCTTTAATCCTGAGGTTCATCTGCCAGGGCTGAGCGAGTTTGGATGGTGGCAGCAAGGTCCTCAGGACGTAGGTTTGATTAGAGTGACCTTCTCTTAGATGGATGGCCTTACGGGGCTAAGCGAGCTCCATCTGCCCAGGTTTGGGATTAGAGTTGTCCTTCTCCTAGGATGACTGCCAGAAGGCTAACAAACTCATCCTGCCCACAGATGTATTGTGTCTGACCCTACTGTTTTGACCTGTCTGGCATGGGTGACCCTACCAAAGGCGTGTACCACGCCAGCATAGCTCACAACCGCATAGGGGCACACAGGCTACGTTCCTGTTCGAACGGTTTGGGCAAGTCTTACATTTTCTACTTTACTATCACCTATTTATATACAATCATGAGGAGATACCCAGGAACAACCCTTTGTCCTGCCCACCCTTTCAGGACGTAATAGAGCAAAGCAAATATATCCAGAACATGCCGAACCTGGGCAGTAGCTGCAGGTGAGCGAAAAACAAGCAGACAAACAAACCGACCAACCGTTCTGGCCCCCGTACACATCCAAGGCTGGGGTGTTTATCAAGGCCCCAGCTTGGCTGGGACCCCCATCACTCTAAAGGAACCCCACTAGCCACCCTGACCATATCCTTCCTCCACTGTGTTACCACATATCTTCAGGCACACTGCTCACCTGTGACACTTCATACAGGAGTGCCCCGCTCTCCCTCCTGCCAATCAGAGGACCCCCATGGCCCACACGATACCCCTCCCCTCTCTTCCCCCGCCCCCACTCCCCCGTATCCCCCCTCCCATCCTCTGTACTCCCCCTCCCCCTTCCCCCCCAAACCTGGAACTGCAAACCTCTGCGTGCTCTGAAGCTGCTCTCTCCTCCTCCACGGGCGTGCAGCAACTGCCGGCAAGGCTCCCCCATTCTCTCTCCCCTCTCCTGTCGTGGCCACGCCTGGGGCCTGAACCGCGGCGCCGGGGGGGACTCCCCGGGGACTCCCAGCCAGCCCAGGACCCCGCCACACACACGCAGCCAGCCCAGACCCACCACTCACCCACAGTGCCAGGGGAGGGCTCCCAGCAACCCGGGACCCCACCACTCACCCGCGGCGTCAGGGGGAGACTCCTGGGGGACTCCCAGCCAGAAGCAATTATATTAAAGCCTGCAAAAAGCAATAATTATTAATTAGAGATGGATGTAACTCACCCAGACCAACACTTCTGGGGAGATCTCTGCTCTCAACCTGCAGGAGTGACCTTGGAGGTGTCCCCAGCCAAGGGAGGAATCTCCACACCTACACCCCAGGGAGGGTTATGTCAGAAGAACCTGACTGTATGAGAGGGGACTGGACTTGTACAGTATAAAGTGATTGCCAGTCACACCTTTACAGCCCCTCGAGCAGCTGATCTGACTCGATGTCTGGTGACCCAGGATGGTTTTAGCACAATAACACCGAGGCAACACTGTGGCACCAGCAGCTGATGGCTTGCATTGTGTGCATTCTCTGATTGGATTTTAGGTTTTATCAGGGGTAGGCTCTCCTGCCACATCCAGTCACACCCAGTTGCCCTCAGTATAGATCCAGTCACTCCTACTTGCTCCCAGTTGCTCCCAGTGTGGTCTTAGTCATTCCCAGTATGGTTACAGACACTCTCTGTATTATCCCAGTCACTCCCAGTGTAGCCCAGTCACTCCCAGGATGAGCCCAAAGCTCCTGGAACACCTGGAGGACCCATCTTGAGGAGGGTCCCTCCAAGCTCTGTGGCTGCAGGAAGAGCCCAAGGAGCCGAGGTTCCCCCAGAGCCCCCCAGGCAGGAGAAGGTGGTGACAACTCCCCAGCCCAGGGCTCCGGGAGCACCAGGGGGTCTCCAGCCCGACCCCCCAGCAAGGGGTTCTCACAACCCCTCATGCTGTTCCCAAAATCCCTTGGGATCCCCCATCCATCTCTGCATTCCCCCCTCCAAGATCTCCAGGCTCCTGAGATGAGCCCAAAAGGCTGGAAGTGCCCACCCGGGGGGACCATAACCCCCAAATTTTTATCTCCAGCCACCACTTTTGCCCCTTTTCCTGTTCTTTTGGCCTTCCTGGGATCCCCCCCAGGGGGTGGAAGCAGCCAAGAGCCCAGCGCTGCCCCATCCCGACCTGCCCCAGCTCCGTCGCTGCTCCTCCTGCAGGATGTGATGGGTTTGGGGGGAAGGGAGGACCAAGGGTGGGTGCTGGGCCTGGGAGAGGAAGAGGAGGGATGCAGAAAGGAGTGGGAGAAGGGGTGGAGGTAGGAGAAAGAGGTGGAGTTAGGGAGGAGAAGGAGGAGGAGGGATGGAGGAGGAGGAGCAGGAAGAGGAGGAGCAGGAGGAAGAGGAAGAATAGAGGAAGTGGGGGAGCAGGAAAAGGAGGAAGAGGAGGAACAACCATCACAGTTCCTCCCACCCTGGAAGCATCGCCCCACCTGCATTCCACAGATGACTGGGGAGGGGGAGCTCGCTCCAGATATCTTGGGGGGTCCATGTTGGGTTTTTGGGGGGAGGGGATGTTTGCAGCTTAAAGACTCCGGAATGAACTGCAAATGCCCCTTGGGGAGATACTGGGGGGTCCCCAGCAGGTAGGTTTTTTTGGTGGGGGTCCCAGCAGGTGCCAGCAGGCAGGAGCCACGTGTCCCATCTCAGGGGGGGTCCACCAGTTTTGGGGACCTCCAGCAGACCCAGGTGGGGAACCCCGGGACCCCCAGAGTGGGGAGAGTGGAGAGGGATGATACTGGAGCTGGGTGAGCCCCAGCAGCCTGGGGAGGGGGGGAGCACAGAGATAGGAGAACCCTGGGACATGTGGCATCCAGGAGAGGAGAAACTCTGGAGGGGGGGACCTCTGGGATACTGAAACTGGAGCCTGGAGAGAGAGGACCCCCAGCAGCCTGGAGAGGGTGAGACCCAGGAGAGGGGGAACCCCTGGGAATCCAGCACCCAGAATCAGAGAGCGAAGGGAGAATGGACCCCTTGACCCCCAAAGCCCCCGGCATCCCTAAGCAGGGCCATGGAGCGGGAGGAACTCCAGGACCCCAAAGTGAGGAGTCTGGAGAGGAGACACTCCTGGGATTCCCAAGGCCACTGGCAGCCTGGAGGGGGCAGAGATCCCGGAGAAGGGTGACCCCCAATACACATGGCACCACAAGCAGCCTGGACAGGGGGACCCCCAGAACCCCAAAGTGGAGAGACTAGAGAGGGGGAACTCCTGGGAGGGTTTTTTGGGGCTGAATCTTCATGTTTTGGAGGGGTTTATGGATACCATTCCAGGAGGAATCCCCAACCCAATGTGCTCACACCCAAAACCTGTTTTGGGTTTTTTCCCACCAAAACAGGATTTCTGATTCCCAAACCTTGGTTGGATGGAGGAGGAGGCTGTGAGGAAGATGCCCCAGGACACCCAGGCAGGTGAGGAGGAAGTCAGTGCCCCTTTGCCTTGTTTTGCATCTTCCAGCTGAGCATGGCCCCTGGCTGCAGGACAACCCCGCTGCCATCGCCGTCCTGCCGGGGCCGGAGTTGGGGGGATGTCCTTGGCCTTCCCTCTGGGCCGGAGGCAAATCCCTGTCCTTCTTCCTTCCTGCCCCAGGCCCCGAGCTGAGGATGGAGAGCCCAGAGGACAAATCCCCCCAGCAGAGCCTGGTGGGAGAGGCCGTTTTGAAGGGCTCCACGGCACAGAAAGGCAGCGGGGAGGAAAAACCACAGAGATACCCAACAAGGAGGGGCTCCAAAGGCAGCCCAGGGTGCTCTGAGGAGGAAAGACCCAGCCTGTGCCGGGAAGGCGGCTGGAGCTTGAGCCGGAGCTCCGACCTGGTGGTCCTTGAGCAGCCTCCCAGCAGGGAGAAGCCCTTCAGGTGCTTGGAATGTGGGAAGAATTTCAGTCACAATTGCAACCTGATCCGCCACCAGATGATCCACAGGGGAAAACGGCCCTACAAGTGCTTGAAATGTGGGAAGAGCTTCAGAAAGAGCTCCAACCTGATCAGCCACCAGAAGATCCATACTGTGGAGAAGACCTACAAGTGCTTGGAATGCAGGAAGAGCTTCAGCCACAGATCTAAACTGGTTCGCCACCAGAGCATCCACACTAGGGAGAAGCCCTACAAGTGCTTGGAATGTGGGAAGAGCGTCAGCCACAGTTCCAGCCTGATCCGCCACCAGATGATCCACACGGGGGAACGGCCCTACAAGTGCTTGGAATGTGAGAAGAGCTTCAGAGACAGCTCCACCCTGCTCCGCCATCAGCAGATCCACACCAGGGAGAAGCCTTACAGGTCCTTGGAACGCGGGAAGAGTTTCCACAGCTCTGAACTGGTTCGCCACCAGAGCATCCACACTGGAGAAAAGCCCTACAAGTGCTTGGAATGTGGGAAGAGCGTCAGCCACAGTTCCAGCCTGATCCGCCACCAGATGATCCACACAGGGGAACGGCCCTACAAGTGCTTGGAATGTGGGAAGAGCTTCAGAGACAGCTCCACCCTGCTCCGCCATCAGCAGATCCACACCAGGGAGAAGCCTTACAAGTCCTTGAAATGCAGGAAGAGCTTCAGCCACAACTGGTGACCCACTGGAGTGCTGAGGCCTGAACAACAGGCCCTGAGCCAAGGTTGACCTTTAGATGAACCTTTCAACCTAACGTTGTATTAAGTCATGTATCCGCTTATCAACAAAATCTATGTATGCTTGTTAGTAAAGTAGGTACTGTGATAAGACTACACCTGTGTAAATATGTGTGCTTATTAGTAAGGTATATTTTTGTTCTCTCATTAGTGAATAACATTTGTATCTGTTCATTAATGAAATATGTATGATTGTCAGCAAAATATGAGTATATTTATCTTTCTGTATTTAGAGACTAGTCAAGGCCATGGAAGTAGATCCCTGGCCTTGTTTGGCAGCAGATGGTGCAGGATGACTCCCTTGGTTTTCCCCTGAAGCCCTGGCCAGGCTTTGGGTGAAACCCAAGGAGAGAAGGAAGCCAGATGTTTTCCACACTAGTGGTTATGTAAGTTTGTTTGTTCAACAGTATAAAAGCTGGACCCTCTCACAGCAAAGATAGAGACCTCCACTATGATTGGATGACCTGCATAGGACTTCCCAGATCCCGAGAGGGGTTCTCTGACCCTTTGCTGTGACCGGGGTTCCCCAGGTGACCTGCAGGTCTGGATGCTGGTAATGTATCAGGGTAACTGGTGATTTCTTAGTGACTGTAGGCAGTCTTTGTAGTAACGATTAGGTGCATTACTGAGCTTATCTTTTTGCAATTCTTTGCTGTTTTGCATTAAAGTAACATTACGCACTTGTTCCTTAAGGTTGGTGTCTGTGTCTCTTGTGCTGACCCTCATCCCCTTGGCAAAACAACTTGAGGTGTCACCGCGTGCTTGTCTGTGACCTCTCTACTTCTGAGCAGGCTGGAGACACCTCTGATGTCACCATGGAGCCCCTGTTACTGTGCATGACTTAATGGATCTTTAGGACCCGAGAGACCTCTGGGATGTCATCATGCAGCACCTGTCACAGCCAGTGACCTCATGGCTCCTTAGAAGCCCTAGAGACCCCTGGAAAAACCTGGATGACAACTTGATGAAACAGATCCTAAGGGAGCTGACTCAGATCAGTGCCCTCCTTGATCTGCTACTTGTCCACGGAGAGGATCTCATGAGCAAGTGGAGATTGGGGCCATCTTGGCCACAGCAACCATGAAGGGATCAAGTTTAAAATCTCTGTTGACAGGAGGAGAAATGCCAGCAAAACCTCACCTCTGGCCATGAGGAGAGCAGACTTCAGGATTGAAAATGTTTTTTGCACATGCTGGGGTCCATCAGCCCATGACTGGGCAAACACATCATGGGGTGGGTGAGCAATTGGCTCATGGGTTGAGCACAGAGGGTGACATCAGACTGGTGACCTGTCACTAGTGGGGTTTCATAGGGCTCAATCTTGGGCCCTGTGCTCTTCAACATCTTCATAAATTACTTGGACACAGGACTGGAAAGGACACTTTGCAGATGACACAAAACTGGGAGAAGCTGTTGACTCCTTTGAAGACAGGGAGGCCCTGCAGAGAGACCTGGACAAATCTGGGGGCTGGGCAATCACCAACCACAGGAAGTTCAACAAGGAGACGTGCTGGATTCTGCCCCTGGGATGGGGCAATCCTGGATGTATGGACAGACTGGGAATGAGAGGCTGGAAAGCAGTGCCAGAAGAGGACCCTGGGGGTCCTGGTTGGTGGCCACTTGACCACGAGTCAGTGTTACGACCCACCCCAGAAAAAGGGGAGGAGGGTAACCCAGGTTCTTATCAATAATTCCCTTGGGGTGGATTAGAGTGAAACGACACTGAATAATCGGTGTCTGAAAATATATATTGGTAAGGTTTATTTTAACAATTTTGTATCAACAGGTATGCCAGCATTTTGGGTGTTGTCATGTAACAACGTGGCATAGAGATAACCTTTGGGGGGGGAGAAAATGCATAGGGGAGAGAAAGACAGGATAAGAGTAAGGGAGAGTAATGAAAAAGAAAAGCTGAGAGTGGACAAAACGTATATAGTCACTGCCCACGGGGTCCAGCGATGACACTTGGTAGTTGCCGCTTCCATGTCTGTCAGTTGAAGTGGTGGCCTTGATCTGCTGGGGGTGAAGGAGGGAAGCCCCCACATGCCAAGAAGTTATGAGTTCTTATATCCATGGTTAGTGTCACGGGCCATGCCTCCAGCCCCCAAACTTTCCCCTGGGCCTGCACAGTTTCTGTGTCTGTCCTGGTTCCCGCCTTTTTAAGATTGGCAGAGGAGGGGATGGGTTTTTATGGGCCATCAGAGGTCCTGCCTTTTCAGGGCTTGACACCTTCAGCACTGGAGGGAGGGATGGACCCAATTGCCCATCAGAGGTATAATACAACAGTCAAAAGCCTGCAAACTTGGCTCTTCACTGGAGGCAGGGACAGGCCCAACTGCCCATCAGAGGTACAATGCAAAGGTCAAAATCTTGCAAGAGTCTCCTAGAATGCATAAATCTTTAACCATTTCAGTCTCTGACAGTCAACAGTGCCCTGGCAGCCAGGAGGGCCAAGCCTGTCCTGGGGGCATCAGGCCCAGCATGGCCGGCCGGGCCAGGGAGGGGATTGTCCTGCTCTGCTCTGCCCTGGGGTGGCCTCACCTCAATATTGGGGCAGTCTGGGGGGACACAATGGAAGGGAGAGATTGAGCCATTAGAGAGTGTCCAAAGGAGCGTAACGAAGATGAGGAAGGGCCTGGATTTGAAGGCGTGTGAGGACACTGAGGGCACTTGGTGTGTTCAGCTGGAGCAGAGGAGACTGAGGGGAGACCTCACTGCAGGTCCAACTTCCTGGGGAGGGGTAGAGGAGGGGCAGGCCCTGAGCTCTGCTCTGTGAGGACCAGGGACAGTACCCCAGGGAATGACCTGGAGTTGTGTCAGGGCAGGGTTAGGTTGGATATTAGAAAAAGGTTCTTCCCCCAGAGGCTGGTTGGGCACTGAACAGGCTCCCCAGGGCAGTGGTCACAGCACCAAGGCTGACAAAGCTCAAGAAGTATCTGTATGATACTCTAAGGCACATGGTGTGACTCTTGGGGATGGTCCTGTACAAGGTTAAGAGTTGGACTCAATGATCCTTGTGGGTCCCTTCCAACTCAGCACATTCTGTGATTGAATGGCCCATTGATTTCATGAGGTTCCAAAATGTCTCAGGATTGCTTTGGTTCCATGAGGCCCTGCATGTCACAGTGGCCCCTTGGTTCCATGAGATTCCACAGTCTCCCTGTGTTCCTTTGGTTCCATGAGGCCCTGCAGTGTCACAATGGTCCCCTGATTCCATCAGTTCCTCAGTGTCAAATGACCCCTTGATTCCATGAGGTTCCACAATGTCAAAATGACCCCATGACATTCTGCAGTGTCACAATGGACCCCTGTATTCCATTAGGCCCCTCAATGTCAAAATGAGGCCTTGATTCCATGGGGTTCTGAAAGGTCCCAGGGTACCTTTGTTTCCGTAAAGCCCTGTTGTATCTGGGTTTAATTCTCTATTGGAACTGGTGTAACTATTCTCCAATATAACTGTATTCTCCAATATAACTGTTTTAACTGGTTTTATTCTCCAACGGAACTGGTGTAACTGGTTTATCCAATGTGGCATCCCAGGGAACCTGTAGCTTGGAATGGGGAAAAACAACTCAATGCAATATTTGCAAAGCCCTCACTGGGGAATGGAGAAGTGGGGTCCTGCTGCTCTTGAGGTCGAGTGATGCTGGAACCAACTGGACTCATTGATCCAAAATTTGAGAATGAAGATGTGGCAGAGCTGGGAAAATCACCAAATAAAGGAAGAACAAGTGACACCACTGAGAACTTCTCCAAAGCTGCTGAGCTGGCACAACCTGGACACACCTGACTGACAGACTTGCACTTTATACTTGTAACACACAGATAATATAGAAATGCCAGAAATAATGTTTTGCCATTGTTTCTGCCTGTCAAAACTTCCTACCAAAAATTCTCTGTCAGCTTTCTGCCAGAAGTTCTCACCAGAGCTTCCTGCCGGAGCTTTCCTGCCAAAAGATCCTGCTGTTGTTTATGGTTATCATATCTCCTCAGACATCTGCATAGGGCTACGTGCCAAGAAACCACGTACAACCTTCTTTGAACACTAGAAAAGTTGAGGGAAAATTTTGGAAAATCAAGGAGAGAGGAAAGGGAGAGAGAACTGGTTATTGAAGCTGAGAATCTCTCCCCACCTCCCCCTCACCTTTCCTCTACCAGCAGATGCTGCCACTGGAGACTGGAACTGCTGGCCTGGAGTGGACTGAGACCCACCGTGCCACCTGCATGAGTTGTATCTTATCCTTCCACCCTGACCATATTTCTGGGGGTCGAAAGGTGTGGCTGAACCAGGACCCTGCACGGCCTGGGACATGGCTCAGCATGAGCAGGGAAACCACACATCCTGGCTGCATTCCAGAGAACTAAAACTGCTAACACCCCCCCCAGCTAAAGAGATAACATCGAAAAGCAGCAGAGACAGAGAAAAAAAAGGGCAGAAACTGCTTCTCCCCCCCCAACTTGGCAGAAAGGTAGTTTTGGTGGTATCTTTTCTCTGCTTCTAGAAGTAATCTTAGCATTTTCCAACCTTTTCTTATTTTTTCCTCTTTCTCTTTGCATCTCTTAGCAATTAATAAAATCAGTTTTGGTATCAACGGATAACTTGTGTGAGTTTTAATTTTGTTCAAGAGAATATTCGAATCTGAAGTTCTTTCTGCAACATTTAAGCAGATTGTAACAATACTATAAAAGCCCAAATTTTAATGGAAGGATCTTCTGAATTATTCCTTCTTGGAGTGTGGAGATTCCTCTTCGGAGTGGGGACACCCCTCAAGATCACTCCTTTACCCACAATTGTTGGTCTGGGTGAGTCACATCAAGCTCTACTTGATTTTACCAGCTTTACTATAATTGCTTCAATATTGCTTCCTAGTGCTCTATACTCTACTAATAGTTGTAGCTCCTACATGGTGTAGTAAATAATTCTAATTAAGGTCTTTTTGTCTAATCATTATCAGAATAAATCCTATATATTTATATAAATGTATTTGCTTTGCCATCCTGTGGTGGTTTGGGCTAGGCCTTCCTTGGTGACCAGTTTGTAACCAAGGAAGGGTCCAGATTTACTCAGTATTCCCTACGATTTTTACGTAAGCCAGGCTATAAGAAGAAAGGAGGAGAGGCCTTCGCTCTCTTTCCTTCTGGTGGCTTGGAGGTGCAGGTTCCCTGCTGTTGAGTCTGTCCTGTTGGGGAGCGAGGCCTGGTTGGGCCTTGCCAACCTTGGGAGACGGAGGTTGCCGGCGATCGTTCCGGAGCGACTCTCGGTTGTCCCAGGAGAGTAGTGAGATATTTTCTTTGCTAACTCTTTTAGTTGTTAGATATTGGGTCACTAATTGGGATATATATATTTTATTTTAGTTTTGTTCCCTTTCCCTTCCCCCTTCCCTTTCCCTTGAGAAATTGTATATTTTAATTGTATATAAGTGTAAATATATTTATATATCTCACTTTGGTTGTCTCTCTCTCGTTTTGGGTTTTCTTAGTTTTTTTTCTCCCTCTTCTCCCTGAGGTTTTGGGGGGGAGGGAGGGGGACTTCTGGTGGTAAGGTTTGGAGACTTGGCAGGGAGCCAGCTTCAAACCATATCACATCCTTAATCCTGTGGGATAAAGTTGTATAAAGGCCCACTGGGCTCCCTGCACACCCAGTCTCCCCCAGTCAGACCAGTTTGCCCCCTGGCCCCAGTGAGGGCCCTGA